GTTTCACAGACATTAGGAAAGGAGTGAAGAGGAGAAGGGGCATGAGGAATAGAGCAGAATAGTGACGCAGTTCCTTTTGGTGGAATGCGGTCTGGAGACTTGGATTTCTGAAAATGACGGAGGTGAAAGTGATGCAAGTAATGATACACTTGCTTAAAAGCAAAGTGTGCAAGGAAGGCGGGGATCTTGGCAAAGAGGAGAATGAATTCATGAGATCACTCTGCCCTTGAAATCTCACTGCACTGCTAGATTGAAACTAGATTGATGGCACAGAATGGGTGTTTTGTTTTATCTTATCTCTCTATTTTCTTACGTGGGAGGAGTAGACATATTGCAAAAAGCAATTGCCAGACATGCACATTTAAATGTTCTGAAACGCGAGGTGATAGACAAGATAAATTTAGTCAAATTTATGCGTTAATAATTTATCTTCAGAAAATGCAAATCTCCGTTGTAGTTATTTTACATTTCTACATATGTAATTAAAGCATTGATAACACAGGGGAACCACAGTAACAGAATTGAGAACAACCTGGTGTAAAGAAAAGAAGTATTGAAAATTTTAAGTTCCTCTCTCCTATGCTTTCTAATATTTCTGTTTGTAAACCCAATTTTCACTTCCCCTTTCTATGAAGCTAATGCTAGATCTTACCGCTTTGCATTTAAACCATCCACTCTTACTGCCAACATTCATGTACTTCTCCGTTGTTAAATCGGGTAGTCATAGAGCTCTGATGTGCCGTGTGGTGGTACCTGAGCTGATTGAGTGGAGGCAGCTCTTATGACCACTCCCACAAGTAATCCTTGGCAAAGCCTGAAGAGATGCTATGGAAGGTTTAATATTATTGATGAAAAGGGCCCAACTTTGTGAAATATTTGAACAGATTTATTCTAAGCCAAATATGAGTGACACAGCCCTCAGGAGATCCTAAGAACGTGTGTCCAAGGTACAACTTGGTTTTACCTATTTTAGGAAGGCATGAGACATCAATCAAATACATTTAAGAAATATGTTGGTTTGGCTCAGAAAGGTGGGGCAACTCAAAGCAGGGGCCGGGAAGGGGGCTTTCATGCTAAAGGTAAATTTAAACATTTTCTGGTTGACCATTGGTTGAGTTTGTCTAAAGTCTTGAATAAATAGAAAGGAAATGAAGGAAATGTTCAGATTCAGATAAAAGATTGTGGAGACCAATGTTCATTTGAAGTTTTATAGTAGCTGCCTTTAAAGACAAAAGATGTCAAAGGTTTCCTATTCAGATCTTTAAAAGGTACTCGACTTTTAGTTAATCTCTTCAGGATTGGGAGGACCTGGAAGAAAATTATCTAACTATATTAAGAAATGCAGTTTTTCCTCCACAAAGAACAGCTTTGCAGGGCTACTTTACGATATAGCACAGAAACATGTTTTGGGGTAAAATATTTTTATTTTCTTCCTTGTTTTGTAATGTTGTACCAGAGTCACATTGGAAAGTAAGCCATGATATATAGGGTTAAATAAAACCCATCTGATGAGAATTTTTGGTTTGGCAGGCATGACTTTTTAGAACACTTAAACAGAAACTTGAGCAAGATTAAACAAAAAAAATCAGAGCCTAGTCCTTAATATCCAGAGAATATGATGCATTTTCATAAAAAATAAATGTAAGGACCACCCACTTAACACTGTTTCAAAATCATATTCTAATTTGTTTGTAATAGGTGGCAATATTTTTCTTTCATTTATGGATAACTAATCCTCACCTTTATCAAACATGTCTTTCAAGAGTATGTAATACATCAGTTGCTGCTCCAAGTCTACATCATTTATCTTTACATCCTCCTTATTCACTTATTTCCTTTTTAATCAACAAAATACATCTTGAATATACATTCAGGCTCCTTTTTAGTCAAATAGTGTTGTTTTAGTTAATTCAACTGCATTCCCAGTACTGCTTCTATAGGAGGCGAGCCCAAATGCAGAGAGGAAAGTGGTGTGACTTGGCCTTAAACATAATGAAGCTTATACAATGTGCACTGTGTCTTAAGTTTGAATATGAATATAATTACTACATGTGTTATATTAAATCAATGAACTTTTATTATGCTTAGCCCAGTGTATCGTCAGTTTTTAATTCAAGTTGTAGAAAAATTTATCATTTTGCTTCTTGATAAAATGATTTATTATTAATATTTTGTTCAACTTTATTGTTTTCAGCTTTTATCAAACATATTACCTCTTTACTCAATGGTGATATGCTAGCTCTAGATAAGTGGTCTGGTGGTAACACATATACGGAGGGTAAAATTCCACCTGACTACTCAAGTGCCCATCAAACACTTTTTAAAAAATACCCATTTTGATACATTCTTAGTCCCATTCTACATTTTATACAGGTCCCATTCTTTGGTTTTGATTTGTTTTATTACATTTGACTCTCCTTAAAAATTAGCTAACTATGCCCAAACTCTAATGGTATTGTTATAGATTTTATTTTTATGTTGGTTCCCTCCACTTTATTTATTTTTTGTTAATGGTACTTGAGGTTCTGGGGTACATGTGCAGATCATTCAGGATTGTTGCATAGGTACATACATGGCAATGTGGTTTGTTTGCCTCCATCCCCCGTCACCTATATCTGGCATTTCTCCCCATGTCATCCTTCTGGAACCTCCCTACTCCCCCGCTGTCCCTCCCCTGGTCTCCCACAACAGACCCCAGTGTGTGATGTTTCACTCCCTGTGTCCATGTGTTCTCATTGTTCAACACCCACCTATGAGTGAGAACATGAGTTGTTTGATTTTCTGTTCCTGTGTCAGTTTGCTGAGAATGACGGTTTCCAGATTCATCTATGTCCCTACAAAGGACACAAACTCATCCTTTTTTATGGCTGCATAGTATTCCATGGTGTATATGTACCCCATTTTCCTTGTCCTGTCTAACATTGATGGGCATTTGGGTTGGTTCCAGGTCTTTGCTATTGTAAACAGTGCTGCAATGAACATAAGTGTGCATGTGTCCTTATAATAGAATGATTTATAATCCTTTGGGTATATACCCAGTAACGAAATTGCTGGGTCAAATGGAATTTCTATATGTAGGCCCTTGAGGATGATCCGCACTGTCTTCCACAATGGTTGAACTAATTTACACTCCCACCAACAGTGTAAAAGTGTTCCTGTTTCTCCACATCCTCTCCAGCATCTATTGTCTCCAGATTAATGATCGCCATTCTAACTGGCATGAGCTGATATCTCAAGGTAGTTTTGATTTGCATTTCTCTAATGACCAGTGATTATGAGAATTTTTTCGTATGTTTCTTGGCCTCATATATGTCTTCTTTTGAAAAATGTCTGTTCATATCCTTTGCCCACTTTTGGATGGGTTTTTTTTTTCTTGTAAATCTGCTTTAGTTCTTTGTAGATTCTGGATATTCGCCCTTTGTCAGATAGGTAGATCGCAAAAATTTTCCCATTCTGTTGGTTGCCGGTTCACTCTAATGATTGTTTCTTTTGCTGTGCAGAAGCTCTGGAGTTTAATTAGATCCCATTTGTCTATTTTGGCTTTTGTTGCCAATGCTTTTGGTGATTTAGTCATCAAGTCCTTGCCTATGCCTGTGTCCTGAATGGTTTTGCCCAGGTTTTCTTTTAGGGTTTTTACGGTGTTAGGTTTTGTGTTTAAGTCTTTAATCCACCTGGATTTAATTTTAGTGTAAGTTGTCCAGTAGGGGTCCAGTTTCTGCTTTCTGCACATAGCTAGCCAGTTTTCCCAACACCATTTATTAAACAGGGAATCCTTTCCCTGTTGCTTTTGTCCAGTTTGTCAAAGATCAGATGGTTGCAGATGGGTGGCATTGCCTCTGGAGACTCTGTTCTGTTCCATTGGTGTATGTCTCTGTTTTGGTACCAGTACCATGCTGTTTTGATTACTGTAGACTTTTTTTTTTTTAATCCTTTATTACAAGTCACACTCTTATAGAAGTATATGTGGACTTACGTGAAAAAATCAAATGTATCCAAGAATAAAAAACATAGCACATAAAGTAGTATATGCATTCCAGTGTTTGGGCCAGAGATGGTGGGCACCCAAGAAAAAGCTCTTCTAGAATGACCCGGCTGGGGCAGGCTGGGTGCGAATAGTTCCGGGCCGCAGGCACAGTGTGGGGGCCTCCTGCCTCCTCCACGGCCCTGCAGGAGGTGATAGCACCAGCTTCTGGGGCCTCCGGGCCAGCCGCGGATCCCAGGCCGGCCCGAGCCTGGCGCCAGGCAGAACCCTTCAGGCAGGGCCATATCTGGCCCTCCGGGGACAGCAGTGATGAAATACCCCAGAAACATGGGCTTCAGGACTGGCCACAGTGTACCTGCAGAGGCCTTCAGCTTAGTTGGCCTTTTTCAGGAAGATCTTGCTCAGAATCTGCCACACAGGGGATTTTTTTTTTTTAAGTTACAAATCAGATATCTAACCCTAACCTTATCAGAGAGATAATATTCCTGAATAATCGTAGAGTAAAATAAAAAGTTACATTGTAAGGTATAAAAAGCCTGGGCGAGATGCTCCAGGGGCCTTGGCCAGAGGCTGACAGACCCCCACCCTGCCAAGTGCCCCGTGGTGACCACGGATGCAGCAGCCCCCGCTGGGATGATATCTCCATGGGGGGCCACTCTGTTCCCCACCCCATGTGGGGACAAAGTGTCAGTGTGAGGAAGGGCAGGGGCAGAAGCCCATCAATGCTGGGGAGGGTTCCTCCTGAGCGCACCCCAGCCCACCCTGTCATCTTTGGCAAATAGGCATATGCAGATGCAGGAATCCAGGTGCCCCAAGCCCTAGGTCTCTGTGTGCCTCCTCCTCCCTGGCACTCCACCCACCGAAAAGTCCGAGGCTGAGGCAGGGTAGGTGGGGTGGGGCAGGCTGGGGTGGGTGGGTGCAGAGGTCACATCTGGAGAGTGCAGGCAGGCGACACAAAGCTCAATCCTCTTCCCTCCACAGGGCAGCGGGGTGGGGTGGGCACTCCCCACCAGCCTGCTCATGCGTCGTACTTCTTACCAGTCTGGTGGATGTGCTGGAAGAGGGTCATGGAGAAGGCCATGCCCAGGATGTACATGATGAGGATGCACATCCCCACTGTGCCCAGCACGTGCTTATTGTCATGGAACCACATCTTCACCTTCTCATAGCAGCCCGTTCCCCACACAGGAGTGGTGGCGTGGCGCCCACAGCCCTGGGGGTTCTCCATGCAGCAGCAGTCGGGGACCGTGTTCTCCCCCAGCACTGGGTACCAGTCAGTGTAGTCCGTGACACCACAGCATCGCATCTCAGCCTGGATGATATTCCAGGCATTCTTCATCCCCAAGTTATCCTCGTTGTGGTACAGCAGCAGGCCTTCCTTCATGTCCTCCTTGGCGTTCTCATTCACCTGGTCCATGTAGACAAAGAAGAGGATGAGTAAGATCAGCTGTGCTAGGAGGATGACCAACAGGAAGATGAAAAAGCTGAGGAGGAGGCACTTGCTTTCCTTGATGGCCCCCAGGAAGCCCGTCACCATGACAATGGAGAGGCGCAGAGCTTCCAGAGGGTCGAAGCCTGGGTCCACCTCTCCCTCTGCCCCTCCCTTGTAGAAGGAGCGGATCTGGAGGTAGCGGTCGGGGTTCCCAGGGTACTGGAGGGTGGCGGTGACGCCCTCCTGCAGGGCCTCCTTGTCCGACTGAGGGTTATCAAAGGGCAGCACCTCCACAGGCGTGTTGAAGAGCTTGTCCTCTAGGTGCTCAGTGTTTCCACTGTGGAAGAAAAACCACTCCAGTTGCAAAGGCTGGAAGAAGCGGAAGCGGATGAAGTCCCCCGCGGCGGGGAGGTGAGGGCCCAGAGGAAGTTCTCGCGCAGGTAGGCTTTCTCCAGGGTGAAGTGCTGGTATGTCTTCAGGCTTGTGCTCACCTCTGCTGGTGGGTTCACATGCTCCTTCCACAGTGCCTGCTTTCCAAAGTCCTTGTCCTTCAGTTTCTGGATCTTGCCAGCCAGTGAGGAGTGAGTACCCACGTGCTGGAAGAGGGACGGCTTGAAGCGGATCCGCAGGTTGGCTTTCTGCCGGTCACAGTGCATCCTTCTCGGGGTTGCAGACTTTCACCCACAGAATATGGCCCAGGAGCCAGTCGGTGGGCTTGTCTCGGTAGAACACGAGGATGAACTCTACACTCAAGCTCAGGTCTAACGACTTGAACATCTTCCCAATGAAGCCCAGCTGGGAGAACTCCAGGATCATCCAGTCCTCCGAAGGCTGCTGCAGTGCGAAGTTCTTCACGGTGCTCAGGTAATTGGGCTTGACCACAATGTCGTCCTCCAGCTGCACGTAGTAGATGCCTTTGGGCTGCACGCACATCACGAGGAAGCAGTAATGGAGGTTCTGTTTGGTCCTCCACCTGACTCTCTCCTTGGGGTCCGCAAAGGACTCTTGGAGGCGGGAGAAGTCAGGGTAGAAGTGGGAACAGGATGAGATGACCCCCAGGAGCCCAGAATGGATCTTGGTGGGGAGCAAGGCTTTGATGTTTTCTGTCACTGCCGAAGTGTACTGTGGGTCAGTCTCAGCAATCAGCACCACAATGACTGAGTCCTCCTTCTCTTGTGGGCTCAGCTCAGAGATGAGCCAGTGCAGAGTGTCAGTCAGGTACGACTGCACCTCGCGCCGCAGGCTCGGGATGCCCATCACTACCGACACTCCGGTGCGGCCGTGGCCCACGCGCACCGCGGGCTGCAGACGGCTCTCCTTGGCCAGCAGGTGTGGTAGGTGCTGGAAGACAGTGGGCAGGTGTAGCACCTACTGGTGTGAGCCGTTCCACGGCTTCAATGGGGGTCCTCTGTTGGGCAGCCCCAGGTGCGATTGCCCTCTGCCTCTTGAAGCACCTGCCTCTCCGAAACGGCGCTCTTGATCTCATCCAGCACCAGGTTGAGCTCCTTGGAGCGCTTGAGGCTCTCCTGCTCAGCTGCGTGCAACCGATCCTGCAGCGCCAGGAGCTCCCGCTGGTAAACGTCCACGACGTCGCCTTTCCGGCCGCTGAGCGCCGCGTGCCAGGACCAGCGAGAGGAAGGCGCGCAGGCCGAAGAGCAGCAGCGTCAGGAAGGTGCCACTGCAGGGCCCATCTCCTCTGGTGCGCGGCTTGAAGTCAGGTAGTGTGATGCCTCTGGCTTTGTTCTTTTTGCTTAGGATTGTCTTGGCTATGCGGACTGTCTTTTGGCTCCATATGAAGTTTAAAGTGGTTTTTTCCAGTTCTGTAAAGAAGGTCATTGGTAGCTTGATGGGGATAGGGTTGAGTCTATAAATTACTTTGGGCAGTATGGCCATTTTCATGATATTGATTCTTCTTATCCATAAGCATGGAATATTTCTCCATTTGTTTGTGTCCTCTCTTATTTCCTTGAACAGTGACTTGTAGTTCTCCTTGAAGAGGTCCTTGACATCCTTTGTTGGTTGTATTCCTAGATATTTTATTCTCTTTGTAGCAGTTATGAATTGAATGGGAGTTCGCTCATGATTTGGCTCTCTTTTAGTCTGTTAATGGTGTGTAGGAAGGCCTGTGATTTCTGTGCATTGATTTTGTTTTTTAAAGTTACAAAACATTTTGAGATTGGCTTTCTTGTTGAAACGACTTCATATTGGAGGGTAATATTCCCCCCCATGGGGTCATCAGTATTCATAGACTCTATTGAGTTACATTTTGAACACTCTACATGTTCTGTAAAATACCTAGAATGCTGCGCACGTGGATGAATATTAATGATTGTCTCTATAAGTAGTAAAGCAAGGAACAAAAGACCTCTCTTTAATAATCTAGCGTCACAGCAGTCCTGAATGAAGCGGACAGAACTAGGATCCCCTGCCTTTACAGCTCTTATCTCTTGAGTAGCACCCAAGACAAAGAAGCCCATTTGAGAGAGTTCAGAGCAATTTTTAAAGACTTCTGTAGAAACATGGATGTTTTTAACCTGAAAATGTTCTACTTGCTGATTTAAGTGACTACATCTGCATTCTCTCTCCACTAGGAAAGAATGACCAATTAGTTATCCATTACTCCATTTATGGATAACTAATCTCCACCTTTATCAAACATGTCTTTCAAGAGTATGTAATACATCAATTGCAGCTCCAAGTCTACATCATCTATTTTTGCATCCTCCTTATTCACTTATTTCCCATTTTATAAATAAAATACATCTTAAATATATATTCAGGCCCATTTTTAGTCAAATAGTGTTTTAGTTAACCAGTGTACCAGAGTCTTAAGTTTAAAGTAAATTAATCAACCTTTGAAATTCTGTCAGCAGAAAGAATTCAAATGTGTACTTTGTCTGGTACCAGATATATATACACTCCTTTTAAAAAATACCGTATTTTGAGGTGAAGTCCAACCGCAATTTAAGTCATGAAAAAGGCTACTGGGAGAATGATCTTAATTAAAATAAATCAATGTCAAAGTGTTTCTAACTAAAATATTTGTTATAATTTTAGGTGAAATAATATTGCATTGTTTATTCATATCTGAAAAAATAGATGTAGTTAAGATACTAGAAGAAAATCAATTGAAACATTAATAGCATTTGTTTCTAAAGCTATGTTTAATAAGGAACGTTCTGCCTTCTACTTATGTATTTAAAAAAAATTAAAGTGATTATGTACTGCTTTAATATTATGATTGCTTTGATAATATTTTTAAAATTAGTTAAATTATAATCTAAATGTAAAAGGTACTCAGTGATTTTAGGGCGTATACATGTATGTGTATGCATGTATGTGCATATCTGTCTTATATAGTTTATATTAAAATTTTGAATGGGGAATTAGGGAAAGTTATTTTTTAAACTGGGATAATAAATTTAAAAAATGTGTAGCGGATGGGAGTCTCAGGTAATGTCATAAAAGTGCCAATGACCTGTCACAAGCATTGAATGAAAGATGCAAATGAGCAGCTAAAATTAAAAAATATGAGGAACTTGATGCTAAACCATTCACAACCTGCTTGTGGGTTGGAATTTCCTAAGTAGCAGAACATCTCCCTCACCACCATCTATTGAAAGTCAGCTTTAAAAAATTAATGTTAATAAACAAGTCAAAAACTTTAATAAAAAATATACATATATCAAACAAACTTTGACACCATTTTAGATTCATCAATATTTGTTAGATTACAGCACTACCAAGTTTCTATCTTAAACATTATAGTGACCCCTAATCAGGCCTTAGAGTGGTGATTGATTACAGAGGTTGAGGGAGTGACAGGTGGTGCTTCTTAGAGGAGGTGAAAATAAATCTTAAAAGATGAAAAGTAAATTTTGATGAGGTAATTTTTAAGTAACCATGTATATGTGCATACCTGTATATGTGTGTGTGTGTGTGTGTGTGTGTGTGTGTGTGTGTGTGTCTGTAGGAGTGCAGATGCCAATGTGTTTGGACCTCTGGGGAAGGGGAGGGTAAGCAAGAGATAAATGCAACTCAGCCTCAGATGAGCTCAATCACTGACTGGGTAATCAGCCCTCATTTTTTTCTGGGCTCCTCGATAGCAGCACTACTAACATTTTAGACCAAATAATTATTTGCTGTGGAGACTGTTCTTCTGTGCATTGTAGGATGTTTAGGAGAGTTCTTGACCTCCACCCTTTAGGTGCTAGTAACACTGTAACCACCTTATTGGTTCTTCCTGCCCACTGGACAAAGTCAATTCATGGAGACCATAGCATTGCAGTGAAGAAAGAATTTAATAATGATGAGGCCAGCCACACCACATGGGAGACAGTTATAACTCAAATGAAACTCCTTGAAGGCTCAGAGGTTAGGTTTTCTTTTCAAAGATAGTTTGGTGGATAGGGGCCCAGGGAGTGGGGAATGCTGATTGTTTGGGTCAGAGATGAAATCATAGGGAGCTAAAGCTGTTATCTTGCTTACGTTGGTTCCTGGGTAGGGGCCACAGGACTTGTTGGCAAACACTGGTGGGGCCATCTAGTTTTCAGAAATGCAAAATCCTGAAAAGACATCTCAAAAGGCCAATCTTAGGTTCTACAACAGTCATGATATCTGCGAGAGAAATGGAGAAGTTGTACATCTTATGACCTCTGGAATAATGGCTGGTAATTATTTAACTATGTTTGCATCTTAGCAGAATTCAGGCCCCTCTCATCCTTCTAACCTGGTGGCCTTTCATTTGTTTTACAAGGGCAGTCTAGTTTTTGGGAAGGGCTATAATCATTTACACTATAAACTAAATTTCTCCCTAAGTTAACTTTGGTCATGCCCAAAAATGTGCGAAGACAGCCACCCTTGAGGCTAGAAGCAAGATGAACTCAATCATGTCAGAGTTTTCTTACTTTCATAATTTTATAAACTTTCTTACTTTTGTAAATTTTCTTACTTTCATAATTTTTGTTATATCTAAAAATGTCCCCAAACATTACCAAATGCCTTTCCTGAAGGATTGCATTACTTTAAGCTCAGTAAGCTCTGTAAGCTGGCATTTTGTGTGCAGGTGGTTGGGATGGGTGGGAGGTTGTCTGGGATTGAGAAACAAAGCACTGCTCTATTTGTTACCAAGAGTTGAATCATTCTGGGGGGCATACTTCATCTAGATGCTCCATAATCTTTTCCATATAACTTTTGACATTCAATCAAAGAAATATGAAACAGAACTAAGGAAACAACAATAGACAATAGAAGCAGATGCATAAATGACCCAGTTATTAGGAGTTAACAGATATAGATATTTAAATAGCTATAACAAACATAGTAAAAAAAAAAAAGGCAGGATGGGTAGTTGGACAACATCCAGTCTACAGTACAGATAACTCAAAGAATATTGTTTTGCTGGCTTTCACTCATGGTGGTTTGCTTCCTTGTGTGTGTATTTTTTGGTCTTCGGTTTTGAGCTTACCCTAAACTCTGGAATATCTTGAAACATAAATTCAGGACACTTTTCTTCAATGAACATTTTTGTTCATTTTTGAGAAGAATATTACTAATTTTGCACATCTTCAGTCTTTATTCCATGGTACCTACTAACCAGCTTATTACCTTACCTGAGTAAGCTGGTTAGTAGGTACCACTTACCTGAAGTGTTAATGTAGGATTTTATCCTCAGGACTCCTTTCACGTGAGTTTATGGTTTATTGCTCTTGCTTCAGCTTATAGTTCCAGTTTTTGGGTTTCCTGAAGGATTGCATTACTTCTATAAGCTCAGTAATAAACAATTGAAATGTGGTACAATAGATTATTTGGTCTTTGCATTGCTGGAAACTAAAGCCCATATACTGTGTGCTTCTTTATAATGTATCTTTCATCATGCTATTTCAGAATGTGACAAATACTAAAAGCTGATATTTAAGATCACATCACCCCCCAAATATTTTTTTCAAAAGTAAAGATGAAGTGGAAGATAAACAAGAAACTTAGAATAATACTAGGTTTAGAAAGTTTATTAATTATGCTTCCGAAAAAGCAGTTGTCATTTTCTGAACAGATAAAAATGAATCTGCAAATTAAAATTCCCAGTGGAATTAATGCAGTGACTCATTACATAATACATCATGGGCAAGCAATCCATCCTTTGTACTCTTAGGCAATCAGATGTATTTAAGCCTAAAATAATTCAAGACAAAAGTAATCCAGTTCCTCCAACATTGCTTTTTGCCTGACATAGAGCTTATCATTGTTTAAAGCATCAAATTGCTTAGGCATTCTTTGTTTTTTTATTGCCTTCATTTCATTGCCTGAACAGTTTTTGCAGTATGATGTTAACTACCGCTGTTTGGACTGATGGAATAGTTTATTTCTTTTGATAACATCAGGTGAAAGCAAAAGTCATTCCATGGCAATTTCCTGTTGCTTCAATGAGACACTGCTTTCCAAAAATGGCAAGAATGTTCTTGACAATTAGCATTTACATGTGATTTTAAATTTTTACTTTGTTTTTATTCCATATTCACTCTTTTGATTTTATTAAAGATTTGAATGAGTGAGACACAAGCACAGTTTAACTCATGTGATGAGAGCCAAAGTAAATACTATTTATTCTATGTTTTCTATAGTCAGAGAGACATGAGGGCTTGCATGAAGGACCTGCATATCAAATGCCTCTATTTTCTGACATTTTTCCATTGCCAATATAGACATCACATTCATTTGGTTGTTCTTAGTGTTCCAACAGCCTTCCTCCCTTTCTCTTTACTGTAATTGGAAGCATATTTCTCTATCTTCCTCCGTCTCCATCCCTTCCACTTTGATATTCTTATTAAAGTGGAATATTTCCTCCTATCTGGTAGAATGTGAAGAAAATAGGGCACCCTAATTTATTTGATTATCATTCAGTTTTTCTAGGTAACTAAGTTTGTCCTTGAACGTTTCTGGTCTCTTATGGTTACATTTTTAATTATCTTGGAATACTGAAAAAGATAGTCAATAATTTTTTTTCATGTCTTCCCACAGTGTCTGAACTATTTCCATGACTTTTTGACTATTCGCTTTTGCCTTTGTGGAAAATAGTCATTAGAATATCATTTGCAAGTCTAATTTTCCTAGTTCTGGATCACTTATTCCCCCAGTAAATTCCATTATTTGGAACTGTACTTCTGTACTTAACTACTAGTGAATGGCAGAAAGCATTTCTCTATCTTAGCTTATTTAGGAAAAAAAAGATGATTTGAAGGGAACCACAAGCAGCTTGATTTCTATCTGTGATGGAAGGCCACAATTGTAATATTTAAATAGAGGTTGAATAAATAAGTATGATTTTTATGTCTGCATTACAGAGTAATAATAGTAAATGTCTTTGGGAACAAATGGAAATAATACCATGATAGTTGCTATCAAAATCTAATAGATGATAACATTTGACTGCACATATTTGGAACATTTAAGTAGAAAACAGGGATGGCAGTTACAACTGGTGTAGCTTTATGAATCTCTATTTCTATTACAACTGAGACTCTTTGGAGATCACTTTATCCAATCTCTGTGCAGAAAACAAGGAACTAAATCTTTGAGAAGCAAAAGTGGCTTATCCAAGCTAGATAATAAAACTGTCACCAAAATGGGCCCTCCAGCTGCCGTCACAGTGCTTGGCCCATATCAACCATTGACTCTTGTGTCAATTCTTACTTTCCTATGAGAAGGCCTGGGTATGTTGCACTCAGTTCACCCTTTCTTGTTCATATCCTTACAATAATCATGAAATTTATATTTTATAATCCAAATTATTTTGAGGTCATGTTCCTCATACAAGGTTTCCCAATCAAAAGCAGGTGAGATAGTGGTTGAGACAAAGGCACCCTGGGCATTAGTTATGTATTTAAATTCTCCAATTAATTGCCTCCAAGAAGGAAACAAATATGTACACTTTGCAATTTGTCTCTATTACTACTAATGTAAAATGAACATTACATTAAAACTTAATGGCGATTGAAGAAAACAATTTAAAAGCCATGAACAAAAAACACCACCACCAAATATTGTCCTTACTTGAACTACATTAATGTCCAAAGTGGCCTAAGGGAAAGAGAGAGAGGAAATGCCATTTAAAATTTTTCTCTTTCTTGAGAAACAGTAGATTTATTGTCATAATAATTTAAAAATGTTCTTGAGCAGGTCAGCAGACAGAAAGTACATGCAGATCTAGTATAATCATTATATCAAAAATTAAGCACATGAACAATGAAATGGTAGTATGGTAGCAGCCCTTTATCAAATTAATGTTCTAAAGACTGTTATTGGTGAAATACAAAGGCTTGCAAATAAGTGAGCTGGACTAACTGAGCAGTTTTATGTGTTACATTTGAAACTAGATTCCAGAAAGAATTTTTAAGAGAAGGAGAATTTAGAGCTTAACATTTCTATTCACCTAATATAAAGTTATAGAATGTCAAATCAGATAGCATCATTCAATTAGTCAATTTACATTGACATAATATATGCGACTTCCATAATAAATAATTCTAAAAATGTATTACTTTTGGAAATATTGAGTCACGTTATTTACAGGTAACCTGAGAGATCTCTATTATAATAATTGTAAAAAGCGGCAATAACTTTCTGAAAAATTTTATATATTCTTCTTGTATAAATACTGTTTAATTTTACTTATTTTCATTTGTGTCTATAATGTAAGATAAGGGTTTATAATGCTGTTTAAATCTAATTGGGATATATGATTGATCCAGGATCAATTTATTTAAAAATAAACTTTTTTCACTGCACTGTAATATTAGCCCATCATAAATCAAGTGACTGTATATGTGCGGATCTGTTTGTGATGTTTCTATTCTGTTTCATTTGCCTATTTGTCTGATCTTGCACCAGCAATAAATTCTTGTTTTGTTGTTGTTGTTGTTGTTGTTTGTTTGTTTTCTGAGATGGAGTCTCACTCTGTTGCCCAGGCTGGAGTGCAATGGCATTGTCTTATACCATCGAGGCTCAATGCAACCTCCGCCTCCTGGGTTCAAGTGATTCTCCTGCCTCAGCCTCCCCAGTAGCTGGGATTACAGGTGACTGCCACCACACCCAGCTAATTTTTGTATTTTTAGTAGAGACAGGGTTTCACCAATTTGGCCAGGCTGGTTTTGAACTCTTGACATCAGGCGATCCACCTGCTTCAGCCTCCCAAAGTGCTGGGATAACAGGCATGAGCCACCATGCCTGGCCACTACATTCTTAAATACTGTAGATTTAGATTATGTCTTAAAATCTGATATTGAAATCTGTCTCCCCATTTTTTTCTCAAGGCTTTGGCTATTTGTATCCCTTTGCATTTATGTATAAATTTTAGAATAAACTTGTGAATTTTCTTAACATGAAACTTGTTGGGATTTTGATGAGGATGCATTAAATCTATAAATCCATTATCAGAGAATTGACAGCATTGATGCTCTAATCTATAGCCTTTTTTGTGTATATTTTTAAATTCACTCAATTATTTGCAGTTTTCTATACAGAGGTCTTTACATCTTTCATGAGTCTTCCTATTTTCTGTATTTATGTTATTATAAATGATATGATTTTAAAAATTAATGTCAAATGTTTGTTGCTACTATATAAAAACTGTTTTTAAAATTATGAAACACTTGTATCTAGTAACCTTGCTAAATTTACTTATTAATTGTAATAGCTTCTATGGAGCTTCTTTTGCATTTTCTACCTACATACTAATGTCATATGTGAATAATGACTGTGGCATTTCTCCCTTTCTGTACTATTTGTATTTCTTTTTTTTTGCTTTAGGGCAATTAGCTATGGCTTCCTTATAATGTCAGTTATGTGTAGTCATCCAGAGCATGCTTGTCTTGCTCCCAATCTTGGAGAAAATGCTTTGTGAAAGCTATCAGAATCAAAATGGAATCATTTGTGTCAAACCCTGACAAAATAAGGTGGGAGATATGAAGGGAGTGTTCTTATGCACGATTATCTAATAACAGGAACGGTCACAAAAGACTGCCAAAACCACAGCCTTATACACAAATATATATATACTTATGTGAGGATATCTGCCCAGCAACTGCCTGCCCAACCTTGGACAGATGCCAGCTTTCTTACTGATCCTTGTAGCCAAGGATTATTATCTCAAAATAACTTATGTAACCTCCTTATTTTACCTTCAAAAACCCTTGTCATTTTTTCCCCTCCCCTGGATATGTCCATATTTTACTATGCTATGTTATTCCATGTTGTAGTGCCAACTGCCAGATAAACTTATTATCTTTGAAGAATGTCTGTCTGTCCATTCTTAAAACCGACATAATCTGGTGTTAAGAAATGGGACCCAAGTAAGCTCACCTGGAACCACTGGGCAGCCCCTGGAAGCAAGTGCAATTATTAACTGAACCCTTTGCACTTTCTGCCTCGAGGTGTCACCTTTCTGCCCTGGTGATTCTCCTCTTAGATTCTTGGACTTCCTCCTTTTAGTAAGTTCTTTTGACTTTACTTGGGACTTCACTGGGCTAT